TAACTTCATCCTTAGTCGAACACGGAGCAGGAACAGGTTGAACTGTCTATCCTCCATTACCTGGGCCTTTAGCTCATTCAGGAGGACCTGGTATTCTATATTGGTATTCTATATCCATTCGGGAGGATTTGGTAGATTTGGCTATTTTTAGTCTTCATTGTGCTGGATTTTCTTGCAGGAGCAATTAATTTTATTACAACTATTTTTAACATAAGAACACCAGGTTTAACATTTGATAAATTTGTATGATTAGTATTAATAATAGCATTTTTATTACTTCTGTCTTAGCAGGAACAATAACTATGTTATAAACTGATACAAATTTTAATACTACTTTTTTTGATCCAGGTGGAAGAGGAGGAAGAAGAGATTTTATATCAACAGTTATTTTGATTTTTCGGTCATCCTGAAGTATATATTTTAATAATTACAGGATTTGGAATTATTTCATAAATTATTCCTATTTTTAGTTAAAAATATCAAGTTTTTGGATATTATTATGCCACTTTATAAACAAAAAGGTAAAATTTATGATATCAATAGTTATAGAAGTATTACTATAGTATCTCCAATAACAAATGTGTTTGAAAGAATAATTGCTAAAAGGGTAACTGCATACTTTAAAGAAAATGATATATTCTATGATGAACAACGAGGTTTTAAATGCAATCATTCATGTAAACTGCGTTACATGTTTTTATCTCTAAAGTAAAGCTAAGCAACTCTAAAGTAAAGCTAAGCAACTTTAAAAAACTCTTTACATTTTTAATATTTATCGAAAAGCTTTTGACTTAGTAGATTCTAAATTACTGCTTTTGAAGCTAAAACGTTACGGTTTTTCAACTGATGCTTTGAAATTAATAAGCAATTTAAATAAGTATTTTCATAATAGAAAAATATTTACAAAAGAAAATATTCTAACAAAGTACAAGTTAACATTTGTATACAACAGAGTTCCATTTTAAGACCTCTTTTATGGTTTTTATCAATGATCTACCTAAATATTTGACATTATTTGAATCAACATTTTTTGCAAATAACACTTATGATAATTGATACCAATATAAACTAATAACAAAAACTCAGTTAGCATTTAATAATTTTATTGGTTGGTTTTAATAAATTCGACATCAATTGGTATAAAACTAAAACAATGATTTTAACAAATAAGCATACTTCTAAAATAATATTGCCATCATATTAAGTGATAAGTTCAAAATTAAAATAGTTAATAAATTTTCTTTGCTTGGTGTCATTATAAACAGTAAATTACATTTTACCGAACACATAAAAGAGATAAAAGCAAAAGCATACAAAAAATTATTCTCAATAACTTATATATTTGGTCTAGCCTTCAAATTTCGTTTACAATTTTTCAAAACATTCATTCTATCTAACCTTGATTACTGCTCAAGTCTTTGTATTTACTAAATGAAAAAAGAAATACAAAGCCTTAGCAATGGATACTGTATGATTTTATTTTTACTGCTCAAAATTAATATTCGAAACAAAAATATATTTCAACAACTTAAAGCATACAATCTACAAAGTTTTCATCATCGATTTTTATGCAGAGCACTAAAATTATGCAAAAAAGTATTTTATCACAAGAAACTGATGAACTTATTAAAACAATTCGATTTTATTAACTTTGATGGCATCAAGTACAACACTCGAAATAAAAACTTTTTAAACTTCAAAGTATCTAACAAACACGATGAAAAGACATTTAAATCTTTTTTTAACAATATAATCAATAAGCATTGCAATAACAATATCAAATTAGCACCAAAAATTTAGTGATCTATATTTACCGAACAACATCAACTCAATTCTAGCACATACAACTATCAAAAACATTAGGTTTGATGTCAATATAAGCAGAATAAATAACTATATTGACTTTTATGCAAGCGAAAAATTTAGAAAAAAGAAAGACTAAACATTATTTTAATTTTTTAACATCTTTTATTTTGTAATTAAAATAATTTATTATACTAGTTGTATCTTATATAAAAATCACTGTTCTGTTCACCAGCAATGGTAAAAGACCTATAGTCCATAGAATAGAAGTTAAGAAATTAGCGTTATTTCTATTTAGCGTTATTTAAATGAACAAAGCACATTTGACCCGTTTAAAATACAATTTTCTAGATGTAAATGGCATTTTAGAAAAGTTATTTAGACGGCATTAAAAGTAAAAGTTCTAGATGATGTAGATTTTTTTTTTAATCTTTTTTTCTCGTAAACAAACTTATTTCTCTTTTCACTAAACTCTTCTTTTTACTTAAATAAAAACTTTTTGCGCACATAAATACAAAAAAAAAATCTTTCCTCTCTTCCATTCATCATCTTTTTATAAATGTTGACATAAAGTTAACACAATACAACGATTCACAAAAATGTACATTAAAAAACCGCTTTAACATAAGAAAAATAATTACTAATAAAAAAACTATTAAACAAAAACCACATAGTCGCCATAAAATGTTTCATAACTTTCCACAGTAACATTAAAAATGCTATTTAAAATATCCAAAACCGTTCTTTACGTGTCTTCTTCAGTTTTTAAAAACAAAATCTACGATTGGATATCATCTATAATAAAAAGCCTAGCACTTAATGCGCTCAGCTGAGCTCAGACAACTTGTAGTTTTTGAGTGTAATTTAAGTTTGATCACATGTACGGCATAGTGCGACCTCTCAATGCAACTAAGGCATAGAACCAACAAACTCGTAAAAAAAAAGCCAATAATTTAATCGGATTTGTTTTAAATTATCGGTTGTTTTTTTTGTGGTTGTTAGTGGCAAACCAAAAAACTTTATATTTATTGGTATTTAATTTATGCAAACAAAGAATTTGAATAGAAAGTAATTTGTTTATAAAGTGTACCGCCTCTTTTTTTTATTTGTTTATAGTTTCTGAATGGAATAATTTATTATTTCAAGATGGCCGGAGTATTTCAAAAAATGATACTAAATACCGAAAACAGTTTTTAAACTGGAGCTAAAAGTTATGATTATTTATGAAAAAACGACTTTGGTAGATTAACACTACCATAAGTTATCTAAATCAAACGTGACATTATTGTTAAACATACTCATTTAGGTGTGGTATTGAAAATAGTAACTTCAATTTTCATAAAAAATGGTTTTTCATGCATTTTTTCCCAAATAATATCTGATTAGAAATGTCAAGTTACATTTATTAAAAAAAACAACATCAATGCATGCTTTTTTGAAAAAATAAAATTCATAGACTTATCTATAGTCAAGCCCAAAGGTACTTTATATTGGAAATTGCATCTTTTCTAAATAAAATTACGCTTGATGATTTGTTATTGTCGCATTAATTTTAGCAGATTATAATAGTAGTTAAAATAATCTTTTCATACATACCAAATATGTCATACTTTTTGATGAAAAAACTTATATATATTGTATTTGAAAAAACTTTTTTTCCGAAAAAAGTGTACCATGCCTTAGTTGCATTGAGCTGCGGTTTAGTGTTTTTCTTAGTGCGAATGTTTTTCTGCTTGTGTAAAGGAAAGTGTTATAATAAAGTTGTTCATATTAAGGGGTTTTATTGAAAAGCATTTTGAAAAAAGCAATCATAAAAAACAAATTTTCATATTTTTTCTTCTTATTTCAATATATGATGTCGATGGACTAATATATATTGTTAAGAAATTAAAATGTTGTAAAACTGTCTTACTGGACCTCGTAATTCTAAAATCTGATTTTTTTATTTTCACTATTATTTGAAAGATGAAATATTGTCATTTTCGTGGTAAAATTAATATATTGAGTTCAAAAATAATAGTAGAGAAAAAATTATATTAGTATTAGAGTGCTGGGGGTCTCTAGATAACATTTATAAAAAGAAATTACACCAATTTAGAAGTTGGTTTTGAGTGGTTTAGCTCACCTCTGGCCCACTGTGCAGTGATGCATTACTGCACAGTGATGGATTGCAGATACGTGTGCTCTTGAAGAACACAAACTTTGTGAAAACAATGAAAAAATAAAAAGGAAATACAAATTTGGCAAGCCTTTGAAGATGTAGTGCAAAATTTTCTATGGAAAAACAAATGGAAAATATTGGCACGAATATGAACATTAAAATGCATTTTCTTTTAAGTCATCTCTACCGTTTTTTTCAAAATTTGGAGATATTAATAATGAACAAAAAAAAACGATTCCATCAAAACATCAAGAAGATGAGAGCTTGGTACCAATGACGTTGGAATGGCGTGATTATGACATCAACGTTCATAGTCATCATAGAAGTGTAATTTTATTCGTTGAATCTTTTGTCAAACATTTTCTGCCTACGTGTCTATCCAAATTGTATTATTTTTTATTTGTGCTGCATTATTTGGTAATTATTTGGTAATTATTTTACATTGTGCCCTTTAAATCAATAAAAAATGTAACAGAAAAGGTCTTGTTTAGTTCCTTAAAATAAACTAAAATCAACACCGGACCTTGTTAAAAGTATTTTTATGCATTTATTAACATCTGAGCCAAAATTTGAGATAAGAAAAGTAAGTGTCAAGAAAAAAAAAGAAACCCGATAGAGTAAAAAATCAAGTCATTTTCAGGTTTTACAGAAAAAAGAGTTCGTTAAAATATTTCAGGCATTAGACCAAATATATTTTTTTATTGCCTAGTATAATTAACTTGAAGTTTTCGGAAACAATCACGAAATATTAGAAAGTTAAACAAAAAGGAAAAACCTTTTGTCTACTCTATTAAGTCGTTATCAAGAACTTTTATTAATAAGACCCAGAGAGTTAAATGCACGTCATTTATCCATTTTATTTTGTATTATTTTTATCACATCCATTAACGCCTTTAACATTATATTTTTTAAATATTTTTCTCTTCAAATAATGAATACACTCTCGTAAAGTAAAAATCATGTGGGCAGGGTGGGAGTGAAGAAAAAAATAAATCAAAAAAGGAAGTAAACCTGTTGGCCTCCTCTGACTATTTTA